ATGGCTAAAACTAGAGGCGGCATCATTAAACGATTTGTTCCTAATGCTTCTAAAAATAAGAAAATAAAGGCTTAAGAAGTTTCCAAAGCTTCAAAAAAGAAAAAAATTGTTGTGGAAGAACATGAGTCAAACTCAAATTCTGATACAATGGCTGAGATTGACAACTACAAGGACAGTAGTGCCCAGTCTAGTGATGATGTTGATTCTAGTGATGAAAAAAGTGATAGTGAAGATGAGGAGAGTAGTAGAGATACGCAAACTGGTGATGAAGGTGAAGATCCCCTAACTTTGCCAATTTGTGCAAGAGACATTTCTGATAAGTCGTTTCATTTAAAGACATGGATGGATGAGATATGATCTTTTCCAGCAACAATTTCTGTAAGAGCAAGGATGGTTGTTTATCGTGATTTTAGATATCTTCTAGTTCAAGAAAAAAATTATGAAGACTTTAAAGGTACTTGTTTTGGACACTTGAGGCATATTTCAGAACATTTCAAGTTCAATGGACATATGGTCCATTATATATTGTTGCGATGTGTGAAAAATGACAAAAAAAATTACATGAAATTTGGTTGTGTGAATGATAAGCCTTCTTGTTTTGGCTTAAGAGAATTTTCATTGATTACGGGACTGAATTGCTTAGTATACCCCCGTGATTCAAAACTGAAAAAAGTTCTTGAAAAGGGTGAGAAATTATATTACAAGGTGACCAAGAATAAGATTATCACCGCTACAAAGTTGATGTGTTTGATCAAGGGTGCCAAGTTGAATAAGGAGCAGAAATTGAAGTGCTCTTTGGTTTTGTTCGTCCACACGATTTTGCTTGCCCATGATCGATCTAACATTGTGGATTCAAGCCATATTAAGATGGCGCATGATTTAGATTTCTTCAATAGTTATCCGTAGGGGGAAGAGAGTTTTAATTTAACATTGACGTATCTGAAGAATAAAGACAATTTGAGAAGCAAAGTGAAGTGTATAATGAAAGAGGAAATACATTGTATGCTCTGTATGGCTTTCCCTAGGCATTTCTGGCACTTCTTATCAATTATGTAGTTGATTTATGATAAGTTCTTATATATCTGTGTAGTATTTTATAGCCTCTATTTATTTATTTATTTGATCTTCTATTAGTTTCAGGTTTGGATATATGAGATTTTTCCTCATCTTGGAAAGTATGTCAAGAAGTCCTTGGATTTTCCTCTATCCATTCCCCATTTACTTAGATGGCACACCCCAAAAAATGATAATATTATCGAAGGTGATCCATTTAAGTACAAAGGTATAAATATATTTATTATTAGTTAGCAATATTTATAAATTGGTGAATGTCATGTAATATTTGTATTTTTTTTTTGTAGATTGTGCACCCATACCTCATACCTACTGTCCGTGAGATAAAAAGAATTACTTGGCAACATTAAAGCCATTTATGAACGAAGTGAAGGATACAGTCCTCGATGCCTTAAAGGAAAATTTGAAAGGTGTGATTTCCTAACTTCAGCAGTAGAGAATGTGGAGGATGAGTATTTAAGTGATCACATTCCTAATCAATCTTGTGAGAATTCTGTTTCGAGTGGATAGAAAAATATACCAAGTACTTCTAAGGATGAAAATTTGTGTGAGCGTGTTGTATCTCTCGAGCAACTAATGATGAAAATTGTTGCTTATGTACGAGAGGAGAAATTGAGAAGAACTTAAAAGAACAAGAAAAATAAAGGTAGATAAATTTATATATTATTTCTATAAAATAATTTATTTGTATGAATTCTTATCCCATGATCTTGTAGCAAATGATGAAAACTTCCAGCACTAACAGTCGACGAGATCCTTTCATTAGCTATAGTCGATGATGATCTTGTTGCAGTTGATTAATACTTTGCAGAAGAAGTTGATGAAGTTGTAGAAGAGATGAAGGAAGAGGATATGAAAGAACAAGATGAGAAGAAGATGACAAAAAAAGAAGAGGAGAAGTTGTAAGAGAATGATGAAGAAAAAGAAGAGGAGAAGCTAGAAGAAAAGAAAGAAGAAGAAAGTGAAGAGGAGAAGCTGGAAGAGAATAAAAAGAAGAAAATGAAGAGGAACACATAGCAAGTGGAGAAGAAGAGAAAGAACAACAAGAGAAGATAACAGAAAATGAAGAAGATGAAAAGTTGGAAGAAGAAGGCTTGGCCACTGATGTGGCAGAAGAGGGAAAAGAAGTGGGCGTGATGGGTATTGTCATGGAGCTTAATGGTGAGGTTGATGGTGATGAATAAGACATTTGTGGTTATTGGTGTTTTAAAACAGTTTTTGAAACAGTTGATTTTTGAAGACAATTAATTTTTGTGATAGTTGGTTTTTTTTTCCCTGGTTTTTAAGACAATTGGTTTTTGAGATAGTTGATTTTTTAAGACAATTAGTTTTTGAAATAATTGGGTTTTCAGAAAATGGTTAAAGTAGTTTGTTGTTTTGCTATATTGACGGGAAAAATGTACATCTGATAGTTTAACATGTTTTATTATAAATGGTTTTTAGATTTCTTATTAGTCTATGTTTTAATAGTATGTGATATTTGCTTAACTTCAGTTTCTTACCATTATAGAATAAAATTATTTAGTAGTCAATTATCGACAATAAAGTTGTATGTCTAATACTATAGATTTCTATCACAGTTAATCTATAACATTATCGATCAAAAATAAAAGATATAAGAGTGCAATAAATAGAGAGAAATACTTTATTTATTCAACACTACATTCTTGTTACACATTTCCAAAAAGCAAACACAAAAAATAAACCACACAATATAGTTTTTAGGCGTTTTTCTTTTTCTTTTGCCAAAATCAACCTTTCTTTTAGTTGATCTCTATCTTTTCAGCATATTTTAGCAACACTTTCAAGTGATTCCTCTACTCTTCGGCTTCTTTTAAGAAAGTCATTAGCAGATCTCTATTTTCTTCGGATTTTCGTAGCCTTTTTAATATTACAAATTTGGCAACGCCCTGAAAATTTGATGGGCTACTCGTTGATTATTCATTTTCAAGCCACCTAAAAAAAGAGCATATGCTAACTGCACAATTAAAGAGTTGTCGACCAGGATTTGTATCGGTGTGCGACTCTTCAACGTATGTGAATTACCACAATGACAATTGTAAAACTTTTTTGCATTGGATGTTTGAGATGATTGAGACATTGTAAAAATGGAGGTGTTTGAGTTGCTTATGAGTGATTGTCTTCCATTTATACAAAAAAAAATGATTAATTATTACCGTTGAAAAGTAGCTATTTGAATTTTTATTACCGCTGTAAAATTTGTATATTGAAATATTTACCAGTTGTTAAAATATATAGACCCCTTATACAATTGATGCATCTATATGTGTGTGAAGTATGTATGACCAATGAGATTTACACTCTGACATTAGTAAGGTATATTCGGGTTTATATCTAGGTTAAAGCATTATCGATACTGCACCTACTAGAATATGACACTTATATTTAGACCAAAACTAGTAGAATTTAAAAAAGACAATAATTAATTAATAATAAATTATATTTTTGAATTTATCTAATTAAATAAGTTTAAACAAGTCATATGATCATTTAAGGGTCCACATAAATAGGGTGTGGTGATTAGAGATGTACAAGGAAGAGTTGTGGTTGTACAATCAACATCCTTGGAACAATGTTTGAGAAAGCATAAGTATGTTGTGAGGATATCACTTGTTCAACCACACATTGTTGATTGCCACCCCCAATTTATGTAGACTCATACATGATTAGATGCTTATGTTCTAAGGATGTGGTTGAACAAGTAAAATCCTTACAACATACTTATACTTCCTCAAACATTGTTCTAAGGATGTTGATTGTAGAACCACAACTCTTCCTCGTACATCTCTAATCACCATACTCAATTTATGTGGACCCTTACATGATCATATGACTTGTTTAAACTTATTTAATTAGATAAATTTCAAAGATATAATTTATTATTAATTAAATTATTGTCTTTTTTAAATTCTAGTAGTTTTGGTCTATATATAAGTGTCATATTCTAGTAGGTGCAGTATCGATAATGCTTTAACATAGATATAAACACGAATATACCTTACTAATGTCAAAGTGTAAATCTCATTGATCATACATACACCGCACACATAGAGATGCATCGATTGTATAAGGGGTCTATATATTTTGACAACTAGTAAATATTTCGATATACAAATTTTACAACGGTAATAAAAGTTCAAATTGCTACTTTTTCAACAGTAACATCTGATTTTTTGATAATTCTTTAAGGGGTAGTTTGGTAGAGTGTATTTTCAGAAAATGTTTGTATTAGTCATTTTTGAGTTGGTTATACTTAGATTATTTCTTATGGATAGTTTGATTTGGTGCATTAAAAAAGCATGCATATAATAATAATACACATGCATTAAAATACACAGCTTGAGCTCATGACAATTTTTTTAGAGCACTTCCTTCTTTAATCATTCTAATTCATGCATTAAAATCATTGCATCACGAATACCATGAATTTTCATATATTAATACGACACAACTTAATAGAGAATGAGTGAACTCGATAATAAACATTAATTGATAGCGTACAAAATGTATGTCATCTTTTGATTGATCTATATTAGATCATGAGTAATTACGATAATAGCTGACACTAAATTGACCAAAATGCTGGCATCCAAAAAAAATAGTAGTTTGATTACAAAAACAAATTTAATCAAACTTGTTTAAGATTTGTTGTTCACACATGCGGTTCTCTTGTGTCCGATTCTCTTACAAATTGAACATTTGTTCCTTCTCTTGCTCTTGAAATTCTCACCAATGCCTTTGACACGTTTTCTTCTTTTTATTCCAAGCTTGATATCGACAAGAGGTAGAAAAATATTCACATTAAGCAATTCTTCTGGCACACACCATTGCGACTTGAGAGGGACAACATTAATAGAATCCATGTATGCAAAACGGTATGATTCAACTTTATACAAAGGCAAAGATTACAGATAGATGCTCATACCATATTCATTGCCATGCTTTGATCGCAAAGCGGCCATCGCGTGAGCACAAGATATCTTGATCAAGTCATATTCACTACAAGAATATGACTTTTCCAGTAGGTTTACATTGATTGTAACTTCTGCACAGAACACAGTAAATTAATTGCCATCCTCGGTTACATTCTCCATATACAAAGAATCGGCCTCGATCATTTTTTTTCTTGTGATTTTTTCGGCAGGCGGAACCATTTGATTACCTATTGATTTGAGGATATATGCATGCCTCTCCCTAAATAATTCTCCAAACTTCTTAGCAATCAAATTAAATATAGATGCCACAGGATACTCTCTTTCATCTATCAACATAGCATTGAGTGACTCAACGATATTTGTAGTCATCAAACCATATCCATTACCAGGGAAATGTTTCCTGCTCCTCTTCTCAAAACCAATATCATGCTCAGGGACGACGACTTCCGTGGGGAATTTGTTCTTGAATTCTACAAAATGATTGTTAAACTCCTCCAAAGAATAAGTCGTTGCCGCGTTATAGTAAAGATAGAGGAAATCTCCACAATGATGATTTACGTGGAGATTTACACCAAGGTGCCTCATACAATATCCATGGTGAGCATGATTGTAAACGTTCACAATACTGTTGGGGATGCTCTTGTGTCTATCAGAGATAAAGCACAATTCTGGTTCATCGACCATAATCTCCTTCAACTTCTCAAAGAAGAATATCCAAGATCCATCATTTTCTTTGTCCACGACACAAAAGACAATTGGATAAACATGATTCTTCGTATCTTGTGCAACAACGCTCAACAACACTCCCTCGTATTTACCATGTAAATGAGTGCCATCGACTGAAATTACCTTTCTCATATGGGCAAATCCCCTAATGCAAGCACCGAAGGCCAAGAAATAATACATAAACCTATGACTATCCTTGTTTACCATGATATTATAGCTAGAATCAACATTAAGAGTCTCGAACATGTAGGAAAAATTCGTTAAGCATGAATATCCGTTCTCCGATGTCCCTCAGACCATTTCCTTGGCAACCACACCTCCTTTCCAATATTTCCAATAGCTTGGACTACAACGAAAAGAATTAAACATAGCTCTTTGAAGTTTTTTAACACTTGGACCCTTTCCATCACGATACATATTTACACAAAGTGAAGCAGTGACTTTGATTGAAATTTTTCTATGGCTACTGTTGGAATGTTCAACACGACAACTATGTTTGCCAATGTACTTGTAGATACGAAATTCATCCGAACACTCATATTTCCTCGCCCGCAACATCCATGCACAGTTGTGAGATACACATTTCTCCTTTAAGTATTTAGTACAACTCTTTACAGTAGCAAAATCAAAAGATTTCTTTGTTGCCGCTTCGGCTAATAACAATTGCAACTCATTCTTGTTACTAAAAGTATGATTTATGCATAAATTAGTTCCATAGGAGAAGGAGTGGTTAGATTGTGATCCCAATTACTGTTCTTCCTGCATTTCTTCACAACATTCGGGTTCGGGATCTTCCACATCTACTGGCTAATTTTCCATATTAAGTGGATCATCATGCATATTCACTGAATGATCACTCAAGCTCTCATTTGAATTATCACCCAAGCTCTCCTTTGAATGATCACCCAATCTTTCATTTCCAATGAAATTATTGTCGTCGTTATATGAATTTGTAGGTTCAATTGGAGGCCTCGCATTGACGTTTATCCTCAATGTAGGCCTAGAGCCATCAATACCAATATCTAACATGTACAAGCTCACGTGCCTATCATTTTTTTTATGAATGTGGAATGTATTTCCCCCCTCTCATTCATTTGATAGCTAATCACCAAGTCATTTGGGTCGCAAGTTAACTCACCGGTCTCAATTACACTTGCAATCATATTGTCATTTGAACCATTACGACGCAACGCAATGGGCACTGTCGTCTTAGTAAAAGATTTCAAATTTCAGCTTTTGGGAGTCTCCTCCCATACTCCCATATAATCACCACCAGCAACAACAAATACATCTACTGCCATTATAGACTACAAATATAGATACTAGATTACAATATCAGTCTTCAACGATCGATGAGGTACGAAATCCGTACAAAAATGCGAATGAATGAGATCAGGTTCAAAATTCAACTCATGCAATGGAGAAACGTATTTTAATTCTTTTAAACTATTGAAATGTAACTACGAACGAGTTATCAAGTGATTATGGAAGATTTCTCAAGCTTCTAAAATGGCGAAAAAATAAATTTGAAGCTTGGTTTTTGAAAGAAAATAGAGTGAAAATGAAAATTGAGTAAAAATGGAGTAGGAGGTGATGATGATTTTACCTTTGAAATGGATAATATGACCAGAAAAGTCATCGGAATCGGCAAAAACAGCAGCAAAAACGAGCTGCTTGTTGGAGACTTTTTTTCCTAATATAATTTTAAACATTGGAAATAGATATATTATTCCATATTTGTTGGAAAAGAAGGGAGGACCAAAGTGGAGATATGAAAACTTAGGAGAGTCTTTTGAATGTCCCAAGTAGGGCACATGGATGATGTCATAATTAGTGGCTATACCACTAATTTTTCAAGACTTGTGACTTAATGTCACATTAAGTCTTGAGCGTGACTATTTTACCAACTCTCCCGAGAGTGTGCACACTCTCTTGAAGGAAAGTGAAAACCTAAAAAAATGGACACATGTCCTTTTTTAATTGTATATTTACAATTAGTTAGTACACCTAACTATTTACATTTCAACTTATTTATATTTAATTATTTTCATTTCTTTCTTTGTAAAATATTTATTTATATTTAATTATTTTTATTTCTTTCTTTTTTTAATTGGATCATTGATTAGGTTTCTAGTTAAATTTAATTTTTTGGGTTGATCAATGCTCAAGAAGAATCAATCAGTTAAGCAAGTCGAATGAGATAGGCAATCCCAACTAAAGTCGCCCGATAGGTCACGCTTTGAGTTTTGGGCCAAATTTTGGGAAACTATAAATAGCCAAAATGAGAGAAAAAAGAGGTTCTGAGAGTTCCAAAAGTCAGAAAAGTAGTGAGAAAAGTTGTGAATAGTTTAGAGAGAGAAACACTTTTACTTTGTGAAGAACACTTATAGTTTTGGGAGGTTTTCAACTTTTGCTCTTAAAATTGATAAACTGCAATTGAATTCAAAGTGGTTTGCTTGTAATTGCTTAATTTCATGTTACCCATGGCTGCTCTCATGCAAGGTACAATTTTTTTACATTTTGTGATGGGTGGCTAAAACCCCAAGATCTAGGGGTACATTCATGAGGTTGGGTGTTGATTTAATATAGTTTGTATTGTGTTATGTTCTGTTTTGTTGATGTTCATACATGAATTTTTGCTAATTAGCATGTGGTTAACTTATGACTTAAGGTTGCAAACTTAATTTCTACTTTCATTCTCCGATTGATGCTCGATAGAGATATATTGGAGTGGGTAATTAGTTCAATACTAGGAATTTAGGTTTGTTATTTGTAACTTGCTTGAAAATAAAGGTTATGGGTCAGATCTATTTGCCCTATTTCTGCATTGTAAGAGAGAATAGAGTAAGGTATTGGGTTGTTTAGTTTTTGCACATAGATGAGACTGAAAGTAGATTCTATGAACTGATGCTATGTGTCACGCCCCAAGCCTACACTCTGGACGTGGCTGGCACTCGAGAACCATTGTTGGTCCCCAAGCAAACCCTCATCCTGACCGACTACAAGCGGAAGACTAACTTAAGCATACATAAGTTTAGAACTGAATTAAATTCAATAAACTCAAATACTAAACTTTATAATAGTCCGAACAATACTTAATAGATAAACTCAGAGTTTGTAAAAACAACTCAAAGAAGGTACATACTAAAACTACTCAACTTTGTCTATCTATGATGCATCTACTATTACAGAAGGATATCGAGACAAGACCCACGATATCTCAAAACTACTAAACTGTAAGATAAAGGTGAAGTCCTCTGGAATATAAGAAGGATCACCAAAGCTGACTAGAATATCACATGACCTCAACGAAACGTCTGTTGATGATCCTGAATACATGTATCTATATCTTGAAATGATGCAGGCCAAATGGCGTTAGTACATGAAATGTACGAGTGTGTAAGGGGAATTCTAAAGCATAACCATAAGCTTAAACTGATAGAAATGAAACATACTTACCTCTTCTCAACTCCCCCAACTCAACTTAACTCAACTCAATGAAATAGGGCTCAACTCAATAATAAGGTACTCAATTCAGTGAAACATAGTTCAACTCAACTCAGAGGAATATGGTTCAACTCAATAATAAGATACTCAACTCAGTGAAACATAGTTCAACTCAACTTAGAGAAATAGGGCTCAACTCAATAGTAAGATACTCAACTCAATGAAATATAGTTCAACTTAACTCAATGAAATAGGGCTCAACTCAATAATAAGATACTCAACTTAGTGAAACATAGTTCAACTCAACTCAGATAATCAACTTAAGATACTCAAGGATAAAGCAACAATAAAAGATGCAATATATGGAAAGTTTTAGAACAATAGATAGCAACTCAATTGTATGTAAAATACAATAATAACTCTTATTTGGAAGATTCTCTAACCGGCAACCATCACTATGAGCTATGTGATGATATAGCATTTCGCCCACGCTGCCAGAACTGTACTATACCTTGTCGGGGTATAGAGCTCCTCAACTAAGTGGCTCCACTAAGCTATGCTTAAGAAGTAATAAGGAATCCTCTAAAAAGTATGACCCTTTCTACCCACGTTGGCTATATGGTTTATGGGGGCTGTGAGTTGTCTGAAATCTCCCCTATATCGGTGCTCAATACTATTCCCAATAATATAAATCATGCTCATATGTTTAAATAAATATTTCCTTATCCTCTAACTTTGCGATTATTACTCAAAAGGTTTCTCTTAAAAGAGATTATAATAAAAAACTCCTCATGAACTCATTTGGAAATCGAAGTTTTCTCTCATCTTAAATGTAAAAACATTTACTCTTGGGAATATATTCAATTTGAAAAATGAAACTGAACTCTCCTCATCCTCATACTCAAGTACTCAAGTCTTAAAACAAATTATAAGTAATTGTAAAAGACTTCTCAAAATAGGTTTCATGCCAAATTATGGACGTGAACAACTCAATTCAAGGTTTTCAATACCCATATATAGAACTCAATACTCGGAACTCAACAACATCTAAACTCAATGATACTACTGAACTCGAGACTGTTCGACTCATAGGGTCATGCAGAATTATAGGCATGAACAACTCAACTCAAGGACCTTCATGGGCAACATGTAGTAGTCCCTTAATTAGGAATATAATCTCAAAAGGATTAGGAACTCAATACTCAAGAACTTAGAACTTGAAGATACTACTCCTCTCAAAGATACTCAAATTATGGAGTTCATGCGGAATTTATGGGCATGAACGACTCGACTTCATGGATCTCAATGATAATGTAGACTCATGAATACATTTTCCTCATTCTCATACTCACTTACTCGAGGCTTGAAACAATTTAAAAGTAATTATAGAAGACTTCTCGAAAAGACTCAAAGGGACTTTCTCAAACTTTACTCTTAACTCCATCTTGAATTTGAATTATGAATTCAAGAGTTATAACTTGGATAGGCATGATCTCTCAAGTATTAATGAAGATTTTAATTGTGAGTATTAAGTAGAAAATATAGGTACGATTCGAGGGTACTCACATGGAAAAAAGGATGGAAGGGTAAGGAAAAGACTAAAATACCCCTCATTAATTCGGGTAACTTTCCTTAACTGGGCAGGCTGAACTCAAACGGGCATATCTCCCTCATCCAAATTTTAAATTTAGCAAACTCGGTGGCGTTGGAAAGAGGACTCAGAGATCTTTCATTTGATATCTTATGGGTCTCCTAACTCA